GGCGGCCACCATTTAATCTGCACTTTCTAAAGTGTCAGGCGCTGTACTGCCTCATTTAACCAGAGTAGCCACCCTGCTGTAGCCATTATTTTGCTGATGAGGAAATGGAGGCCCATGTAGACAAGCTGAAGTGTCATGCTGCTAGGAGACGGCACACCTACAACGACCCAAGGGCCTTGTGGAAGCTTCCATCACTGGGCAGCCTCCGAAGCCAAGGGTAGGGGCTTCAGGTAGAGTGGGTGAAACCTACACTGCCTCCAAGGCTTCCAAACTCTGTTCACATACTGGCTGGAAACTTCTGGGCTAGCATGACAGGGATCAAGGCAGCTGAGAGGTGGACCAGACATACATTTATCTTCCCCCAGGATCTCACCTGGACCACAACCTCAACTTCTGAGCGTGCCCCCAAGAGCCCCAGCAAAAGAACTCTGTGGGAAGTGGGGACTAAGATTAGTATCACAGCAGCTTCATGTCCCTCCTGAGGCTGCCTGGTGGTGCAGGGCCACATCACACGGCGATGGGCTGCGTGTCTGGGTGGGTCTTGGTGGGGCTCTCCCTCAAGCACAAGCCACACAGTGACAAGGAGCTTCTGCACCCTCTACTGCCTCCTTCCCAGGGAGACTCACACTCTGGGAAGAGGGAAGAGCGAGGAATAAAACCTACCCATCAGAAACAGCTGGACTGTGGGAGTGGGGACCTTCTTGGCCGTAAGCTCAGAACTTCTCTCACTTTGGTCCTCAAAGCCTTGGCTCTCTGGAGCTTCATTCTCTGCCACACTGCCCCTTACCTCTCCTGGGTACCTGTTTCTTCTTGCCACATGGTCACTGCCTATGTGGCTCCCTCTGTCTAACATGAATCAGCTAAAAATCACAGGAGTGAATACTTAGCACGCTTGGTGTCCCAGGACAGTTCTGAAAGTGTGCTCACTCCTCTCCCCTCACCTCATGGGTGACAGTGAGAACTCCTGATAACTATCCATAGAACCTGGGCCTTGACAATTTTACTGACTGGCTGGAGGTTCTACGGAGCAGTAGGGTACAGTTTGAAGGCTGGCCTTGGGACAGCAGTTCCCTCCTCAGGCCTACTTCAGCTGGAGTCATGACACCAGCTAGTCATGACGCTCGGCTCCATCCCAGCTTAGGCTCTCCCAGCTTCAGATGGTGGCCCACCACCATGGCCGCTCTTCCTGGCTGTCACTCCTCCAGCTCCCCTCATTCCTGAGCCTCTAGCCATGTGTCTCTCTCCTTTCTTGCTGCTTCATGACGCTATTACCCAGGTATTTTTAGGGTTTTAGTATTGAAATTTTAAAAATTAGAATTTTTGTCCCTAATGGTGGTTCCAATTTTCTCTTGAGTCTAATACTCAACTGAAATGATTCATGGAAAAATACCTTTGCAAGCAGTTGATCTGTGCCACAGACTGTGGCTTTAGATAATTTGGCATCTAAACACACACTGTGTTACCACCAGAGCTCAGCTGTGGCACCACATTGCAGATAAGCCGCAGAGAAACCTGATGCTGTGTGTCAGAGCCCTGGGGCTGGGAACTCCTGGGGGAAAGCCAGAAGCTGCTTCTACACAGAGACAGAGCCACGTCCTGGCCTCAGGGCCAAGAGGCCCAGCCCCGGGCAGCAGGCCTGGAGGAGCTCTTGTCCTCTTGTCCCAGCCACCTTTGCTTGGGTGGGTGCCCAGATCTGGGCCTAGCACCCTCGGGAACCCTACCAAACAGCAAGCAAGTCCCCTCTGCTGCTCCCCAGATGTCTGCCTTGCCCCTTCTCCTTCCCAGCCAACTCCGCTGACCACAAGGCTGTCGCCTCAAAGCAGAAACAGCTGGAGCACAGAGGGCTCTGGCTCCCCCTCCCACTGGATGCTCCTTTCAGAATGCCTGGATCTTTCTGAAGCCTCTCATCCTATGCCAGGCCCCGAGTGTCCTCTGCGACCTTGCATTTACCTTCCAACTTCCAGAGAAACACAGTGGTGACGGCATCATGACGACACTGGTAATAATAGTGTGGCAGCATTTACTGGGAATATATACCATGCACACATCACTTACCAGGCCACAGTTCTTTGTGGTCTCCCAGTGACAGATGGTTAGGTGGAGGTATGAGGAGCACGGCCTGTGTGGCCTTGGTCAGTTACTGAGTCTCTCCATGGCTCCATTTACTCATCTGTAAAATGGGGCTATGAAGAGCACCACTTTCCTGGTAGTGTACATACCTGTAAAGTGCCCCACACAGTGCTAGCACCTGGTAAAGCTCCATCAATGCTGCCATCTCTGGGTAACCCTCCACCTGCCTCCCTTACCACAGGGGAAGCTTGGAACCTGGCCTAAAGGCCCCAGGGTCCCTGAATGCCAGAGCTGTTGTTGGTGGCCAGGCCACCTGACTCCAGGGCCACTGCACTCCCAGCTTCTGGTGTTGCTGTCTGTCCACAGGCTGGTTGCCACTTTTCCAGTGGCTTTTTTCGATGAACTGCGAAGCAGGAACTGACCTTGGCCCCTGTATATTCTCTGTTCATTGAAGAGGTGCCTGGCTATGGAGCAGATGATGCCACGCTGTGCCTCTCCAAGACCACAGGCAGCTGGGGCAAGGTCTCAGGCCACCTTCCTCCACATGGCCTCGCCTGGGCCCTATTGTGTGGTGAAATGGATGCAGACGGGACTTCCTCAGCCGAGTGCTATCATCCCTCCTACCTGGACCATCAAGCACACAACCTTCAAGCCCCTGGCTGTATCCTGCCTTGAATGGCCACGTAGTGGCTTCCAGATGAGACTCATGCCAGCACATATAGGACTCTGGGCAATTATCAAAAAGCATATCCTCTAGGGAGAACAGGTAGCTATCTAAGTGGAACAATTAGAAAAGGCGTCCTGTCCTCAGGCCGACATGGCCCTCCTGGGTCACCCTTGTACAATACACGACCTGTTTGTTCTTAGTGGTCCTGTCCTCAGCTGGGAAAGGGCCGGGGCCTTGTGGAGACGGCACTGGCAGGGAGACAGCAAACTTGGATGCTGGGTCTATTTAGGCACAAATCTGATGGAGATCAAAGAAATTCCAGGGCCCCAATGTTCTCATCTGTAAAATGAGCACAAGGAGCAAAATGTGCCCAAGATCCCTAAGAAAAATGATGACCAGCTTCAAAAGAGGTGACGGTACCAATGTCAGAGCCAGTTACCAATGAGCCACTGTCCTGGGTGATTTTTCTTAAAGCATCAGCTCATCCAATCCTCAAGTAGAGAAAAGGATCTCATTCTTTCTCTCTCTCTCTCTCTCTCTCTCTCTCTCTCTCTCTCTCTATCTCTTTCATTCATTCATTCATTCATTCATTTATTTATGGCACTGGGGATTGAACCCAGTACCTCAGATGCCTCTGAGCTGCATCCTCACCCTGTTTTAAAATTTATTTTGAAACAGAGTCTTAGTAAGTTGCCCAAACTTGAACTTGTGATTCTCCTGCCTCAGCCTCCCAATTAACTGAGATTACAAGCATGTGCCACCAAGCCAGGCAGAATATTTTGTTCTTAAAGGGGCAACTGAGTTTCAGAGAGCCCAGCTAGTGGGTACTAGAGCTGGCACATATAACCCTGAGGCTAAAGCCCATGGTCTGAGCTTCACTGACCCCATGCTGTGACTGCCTTGGGTTAAAAAAAAAAAAAAAAGAATCCCATTACACACCAGGCAGCCCCTGTAAACTCCCAGGCCACCTCCTCACAGTCAGGTGGCCTGCTCCAGGGCCCTTCTCGTCTTGCCAGTCAGCTGTCAGTCAGTCAGTCAATACACATTTGTAAACACATCCTACTAGGAGCTCCATCCAAGGATGATGCCTACCGTTCATTGTTCAGGGTCATTCTTGGGGGATCCAGGTTGGGATTCTCCATGGACTCCATCTGCGGACACCGCAGGAAGTAGTAGAGTGTGTGGAGGGCATCCGGGGACCAGGTGATAGGCTGCGGCGGCTGGCGGGCCTGGCGGGCGGGGCTGGTGCCTGGACACAAGGGGTGGCGCCCCTGCATGTGGTGCATGGCTCGAGAGACCAGGTCACCTGGGGGGGGGGGGAGAGGGAGAGAAACCCAAGACAAAATGAGATCACAGCCCACATGTCCCAGGGATGCTTGTGGCTAAGAGAACTAGCTCCTTTCCCTTCCTGCATAATTACTATTTACCCCAGAGTCAACAGGCGGAGGTGGAAACTGTCACCTAGATGCACAATAGCAATTTAGTTTCCCTTTCATTTCCAGTCTTGCCTTAACAGCTAGTTAAACACTTGGCTGGGCTGGTCTCCTCCAGAATTTATGCTAATATGGTTTCTTTTTCAACATCCCCACTCTCTCCACTACCCCAGGGGCCTTTACCTAGCTGTTTGACCAAGGGAATTTCCCTGGGTCTCTCCTCCCAGCCTCCAAAAGCCAGTGACAAGCTCTGTGGAAATTCTCCCCTATGCCGTCATGTGCAAAGTCCCAGGACTTCAGAGCAGAGAGGTACTTTGACCTCGATCACTCAATGCCAATGGCCACCATCATCCAATAAGTGCCACTATGTGCCAAGGGTGCATTCCCTAGAAACATGATTTGATTCTTATGATGCTCAGGGGTCAAGTTTCAATCTCATTTTATAGATGAGGAAATTGAGGCTTATTTGATGAATAAACATTCCCTGGCCCCATGCATTCTCCTGGTCATGGGGAAGCTGAGGGGCGCATAGGTGGGGTTTAACTAGTTGTGGTCATGTGGCTAATGAACAGAAGAGTCTATTTTTGAATCCAGGTCTATTTGACTACAAAGTCCATGAACTTCACTGTGAACTGGACTGAAACCTGCCCTATTGGAGTCTGTGGGGTCCCAGGCCCCCATATCCTGTGTTGCTTCTGTCCAAGTTGAATCTTTTCAACATCCCACCAGCCCTGGACAGGAAATGTCCCATCATTGTTTGAGGTCACAATGCTGAGAAAGGATGGGCTGAAATAGCCCCAGACACCTGCAGGCACCACTGTTCTGGAAAAGTGGCCTGAGAACTCTGGGGGCTTCCCTCCGGGGTCATCATGTCCGCCTCCCATGGTGGGTCCTCACAGACCCTTCTATAGGAAGCCCTGGGACATGGCTTACCCTAGGGCGGCAGACATGAACAGGTTATAATTTGACAAGTGAAGTTTCTTTAAATGTACAGCAGAGCCAACCCATTCATTTATCCAATTAATCTTCATTATGCAGCTCTAGGAGTCTGGAGCTGCTTTGTAGTATCCCGGGAGCCCTGCACAGGGTCTCCTGCACACTAGGTGCTCGGCAAACATTTGGAGAGTGAACAAAGAAAGCCTTGTGCATGCATCTCATTTGTAAAGACAACTCTGGTAAGGCATGACTTAAGCTTATTTACTGCCAAATTTTCCCAGGACAAGCACAGGGATGGTGTCTGGCTTCCAAACAGGTATGAGTGACACTCCTAGGATTAGAGCTCTCTCCAGAGTCCTCCAGGTCCCCACTCTCCCCACACTGCTCATCCTGCAGTTGTAGTTAGCTGCTGGGGTGCTCCTGGTAAACCCCAGAACTGCCACAGCTGGGGGCAGTGAGGTGCTGACACCCAGCTTGTGTCCAGAGACTGAGTTTATGGGTCTGGGGCAGGACTCTAGTAGCATCTGTAGTTTGTGAAAGGTCTCTCGATGATTCTAATGACTAGTCAGGTTTGAAAGTCCTCAGAAAACTGATCAGAGCCTAGATTTCAGAGTCAGATAGGTGTGGCTTCAAATCAGGGCTCTGCTCCTCCCAGGCTGTGTGCCCTAGTGTAATTGTGAGAGCCTCAGCTTCCTCATCGGTAAAATGGAAATGACAGTAACTACTCTGCCAATTTCTAGGATTCAAAGAAATAATAAATGTCAAGCACTTCACATTGCTTTTGGCACAGAGTAAGTGCTTGGGGAGGTTGAATATAACACTAATATTATTCATTATTTATTAATTGCTATTATTCCTCTTTCTACAGTTACCTCCCGAGGAGCTCTTCCTTCCAGGTCCACTGCCTGTGGCCAAACACTGCCCCATGTTTCCCAGGACGGGAGGAGCCTGAGCCCTGACTTTCTAGATCCCAGCCCTGCCTTCAGGCTCCTGGGCGGCAGAAACCGGCATCCCAACCAGCAGGCCACTGGCCTCCCACAGCCAGTTGCACGGCTAAGCTGAAACCTGGCTCCTGTTTCTCCAGGTCTAAATGTCATAACATTTGGCAGGACCACAGGACCACAGGAGGGAGAAATCAAAGAGTCTGTGATACCATCAAAGAGACATGCTGTTGAAATATCATTCCAAAGGCTCAACAAGGTAGAAGTCATTATCATTAATTATTTTTATTGTTGTTTTATTGTTATTGGTGGAGAACCCTTTGGCAGCACATTTCTAGCCAGAATGCAGGAAAAGAAAGGGAAGCTGTCCCTAAAGATTTCCTAGTAGGGAAGCCAGGAACTGAGAGGTTCCCCAAAGCTTTAGGAGGACCGTGAAGGTGGCGGGAGCTGGAGGTTCCTGTCTTCTTCTATCCAAATCCCCCTATGAATGGTTCTCTCTCCAAGTCCAAAAAGACTAGATGCCAAACATTAAGACTAAAAGCTTACACGGTTCTGTAGCCCATTTACGGCCAAAGACAGAAGCTTGCCCTGGTGATTTTTCTCCTTGGCTACCTTTTGTTTTCTAGGCTGTGTGACACATAAACTCTCATTTAATCTCAAAACCACCTTGGAAGAGAGGCATTTCCATTTCACAGAGAAGGAAACAGGCTCACAGAGGGTCGGTGATCTGTGCCGGTTGTACAGCTAGTATGTGAATCCGCCTCCCATGCGTGTGCTCTAGACGGCTGTACCCTGCTACTGAAAGTGGTCTGTGAATTGGAACAGGTCCCCAGACTGTTATTGGTCCACCAGTTAACTTCAGAAGTGGACAGTGAATTTAAAAAAAAAAAAAGCCCAAAGCAATTTGACAAGAGTAATTTTATGTCTAATAATAATCTGAAAAAATTGGGCTTGCATTTCACATAGTCACAGTTTTGTCTATCTTATTTCATTTTTCTAGACATTCATTTTTATGGTACTTTACTAAGTTTCGATCTGTAAGGGAATGGCGGGGATGTCATCCTTGGCCCTTCCCCAGGGCTAGTTTGTGAAGCCCTGGTCCAGCGGGCTGGGCTCCTTCTGGAACACAGGTGGCTGCTTCCTTGTACTTGAGAATCCATTGATCCTAGGCTCAATGCAACCTTGGTCTGAAGCCCAGAAACACCCACCAGGCAGGGAAAGACAAGCCCTCAGCCCTTGTTAACCATGAAAGACTTGATGAGAGGTGCTATGGGTTTCACTCTGGTCTCTCCAACCCTCATTATGAGCCATCAAATAAAAACAGCAGGCGAGAGAGCCTGGAATTTAGCACTGTCTTCAAAAATAAGGCCTTTAACATCTGGCCGCCTTTAAAAAAAGAAGTGCTTCGTTTTGTTTATTTCTTATTCCTTCCCTTTAAAATTTTCATGGGTACAGAGGGACAGAGCGAAAACATTAGGACCTGAGTTCTCGGTGTAGCTGGACCTTATACAAGAATGAAACCTCTTAACCTACCTGGCAGGCCGGTCTTGGCGGGGGGTAGAGAGTTAACGCATGTAAAAATCCAGGGTAAACTTGAAGGTCCAAGGTGCTTGTTGCCAAGTATCACTAGCCTCATTAAGTTCTTTAGTCTCAGAGAGAAAAATTACAATATCTGCCTCCACCTCTGTCTCCTCCCTCCTCCACAGCAGGTTAGTAAAACTTCCAGTTTCAGAGGGAGGGACAGAGGGAACATGGTGCGTGACATAGCCTGTCCCTGAAGAGATGCTCTGCAGTGACCTGAGCCGTGGCGGGGCCGGGATGGGCACCCCGCCTGGCCAGGGTTTAGGAGATGGACGTTGGGTAGGATAGAACTCCTTCCTTCTAGAGCACACCTGTGCACAAATGCACGCTCACCAGTACACACATAAATCCTCAGGGGCAGTTCGCTGTGCCAGGGACTGTTCTGTGCACTGGGGACAAAGCAGTGGACCAAAGAGAACAAGTCTCTGTCCTCACGGAGCTGACGCTCTAGTCAGAGAAGAGAGATGAATGGCTATTTACAAGTAAATATGTGGGTCAAGTGGTGGTCAGCATAACCCCAAAGCCACAGAGGGCAGCAGAGGGATGAGGGCGGGAGCTGAACTATACAGTGCCATTTGGGTGGAGGCTCAAAAAAGTGAAGGACCCAGGTGTTTGGGTGACAATGTGGCAGGCAGAGTGGAAAGTTGGCTGGGGACAAGGAGGGCACTTGACCCAGGCTGGTGGGCTGTAGTGTGGTCGTGAGAGAAGAGTGGCAGGGGAAGAAGCCAGATCATACATCAGCTCGTGGGCTATGGTGATGATTTGGGGCTTTAATGAGTGTGCTGAGAAGCCACCGGGGGAGAGGACAGATACTGAGCAGATGAGTGACAGAGACCAATGCATGTTTTAAGTGGCTTCAACTTGGGCAGAGTTGGTAGCAGCAGAGGTGGTGAAAGGGGCAGACTAGAACTCAGGATAGTTTTAGAAGGTACAGTCAACAGAGCTTAGTCCCCGCTGGGGAGGCTTCTGAGTATCCCCCATGTGCCTGGCTTGGACTGTAATGGGTGCCAGAGCCTGATCTTGGCCTTGGCTGTCAGATGCTGGATGTAGGCTGTTGGCCACAACTGGGAAGCCTACAGCCCTAAGCAGCTGAGCACGCAGAAAGCCAGACCCCTTGGGAGGCGAGCTCTGATCCCTGTCCCTGTAACTTGGGGGGACAGCACTTTTCTTCTCTGACCTCAGTTCTCCCATCAGGACAAGCCTGGCTGAGTTGTTCCGAGGAGTAAATGAGATCGGGGCAGAGGCTGGGCCTTGCACAGGTTAAACCCTCGATTAATATTCAGTGGCTGGAGGAACCCAAGCTGCTCTCTCACGCGTGGAGGCCTAAGAGACCTCACGGTGCTCGGCAGGAGAGCTCATCGGAACACAGACTGTGCGTGGCCCAGGACAGCTCACAGTCCAGGACACATTCGTCAGGGTGGAGATCAAGCCTCACCCCAGAGCCCACTTCCTTCAGGGTCCCTCTAGGGCAGGGGACCCAGGCCACCAAGCACCAGCTCTGTCAGGAGATAGGAAGCTGGAAGTCCACTGTGACCTTGAACCTTCATTTCCTGTCCTGGGATGTGGCAAGAATAGAGGAAGCAGTATTGTGGAGGAACAGAAAGACTTGTCCTTCACTGTTCAGAGGCCAGAAAACAAACAAACTAACAAACAAAAAACCAAAAAACTAAAAACAAATTAAAACAAACCCTCACAAACAGGGAAGGCTGGACAGAATGAAGCTTTGTTTCCCACGCTGTGACCCTTGAGATGTGTCACCATCCTCCACTGGGTGGTCTCAACAGGGTAAGGGAGAAGTAAGGAGGCAGAGTATGCAGTTTGACTTCTTAAATTAAGTGGGGTAAGGAGAGGGAGAGCGCAGGATACAGCCTGGGATTCCCAACTGTGTCCCACAGAACCCTGGGGTCCTGGCAGATGCCGCAGCTGGCAGACTGGGGGCAGGAGCCGTGGACCACACCCTCCTTCAGCCAGGGGGACACAACTGTCCCCTTCCGTTTCCTATACTGAAGCATCAGAAACAGTACTGGTTGTAAAATTCGGAGGCTTTTAGGTCAGGCAGGTGACATGAACAAAGAAGGCCAGTTCTGTAGCAAAGCGGGGAGACTCCAGGCCACCCACCCAACGGCGGCTTAGCTCCGGGCAGGGCTGGGGAGCAGGCTACTAGGACGTCAGAGATTTCAAGAGAAACCAGAAGTCCAGATTTTACGTGTGGTTATGTCCACATGCTGACCAAGTCTTACATGTCCGTGGGCCACTAGTCTGCCACCTCAGGCCTACAAGGATCTAGCTTTCAGGGGGGCACATGTAGTCTCGAGGTGGTGGCCAGAACCAGATGGCGGACCCTTCCTTGCCTCCCCCCTCAGACCCCTGCTCTGCAGTGCGGCCAGATGCCGAGGCCAACTTACTCAGCTCCGAGATGCTGCCCACGCAGGTGGCCAGGAGAGACTGCTCCAGGGTCCGGAGCTCCAGCTGAGCATAGGCATCGGCTCGCTCATCGTGGCCCAGGGACCCTCCATTGTAGGGGCTGAAGTACGCGGGGAGGGAGAGGACACCTGTGGGGAAGCAAGATGGAGAGGTCACACTCAGGAAGGCAGGAAAGCTCCTGGGGCCTCGGTTGGTCGCCACGGCAGGGCTCAGCCCCCATCCCCTTCCTCTGACGCAGCGGGGCCAGAGGGGTGCACCTCTGCCTGAGCCTTGAGGACATGGGCCTTTTTGCTGTGCCTGGTACTATGGGGGTCGGAATGAGAAGTGGCCCACCGTGGCGGTGGCTTTAACCTGCTGGATACCAGCCTTTTCTGGAGTTGCTCAAGGACCTGGCCTACACAGGCTCCCAGGCCGCTCACTGAGTATCTACGGCAGGCCTGACTGGTCCTGGGGGTTGTGCTCCTCTCAGTGTTGTGTGATGACAGAGACGGTTTTGTTTCCATGGTGCTCAGGGGTAGCTGAGTCAGAGGTGCTCTCCTGCCCACCCAGAGGCCAGTGTCACCCACGGAGGCCTCTCACTTCCCCAAGTCATCCCCTTTCTTCTTCAAGCCCACACGGGGCTGGGAGCCGCCACTGAAGAGGAACACTGCCCTCTCCACTCCAAGAAGGGGACTCATCCCAGCCCTTGGCCAAGTCCAATTAGCGTTTCTCATTAGCATTTCAACAGCCAGGGAGCAGAGCTGTCAGGATGGATCCCAGGGGGTGACAACATGCAAGTCTCTCCAACTCATTGTGTGTCTTCTTAGAAAGCACCAGAAAAGAAGACAACCCGCATTTGTTTGTTTTTTTTTTTGGGGGGGGGTAGGGGGATTGGCTCACTTTATTTAGCATTATATTCTCCAACTCCAACTATTTACCTGCAAATGCCATGATTTTATTCTCTTTTAATGCTGAGTAATAATCCATTGTTTATATATGCCACATTCTCTTTATCCATTCAATCTACTGAAGGGCATCTAGGTTGGATCCACATTTTAGCTATTGTGAATTGTGCTGCTATAAACAATTGATGTGGCTGTGGGAAGGTGGGTAGGAAAGATGGTGGAATGAGACGGACATCATTACCCTAAGTACATGTATGAAAACACGGATGGTGTGACTCTGTGTTCAACCAGAGATGAAAAATTGCGCTCCATTTGTGTAATATGAATTGAATTGCATTCGGCTGTCATATATAACTAATTAGAATAAATAATTTTTTTTTTTTTAAAAAAAGAAAGCACCTACAAAACACAATCAGCCTGTTTTAAAATTACATGTTGCTTCTTTAAAGCATGTGGCCACAGAGATTCCAGTTGCCGTCAGAGCCTGGGATTCCCAACTTCTGGTAACTGCTGTTTCTCTCAGTGCTGTTTCTTTGTCCCAATCTTCCACCCCATTTTTTTTTTTTCCTTAAGAAAAATACCCACAGAGATTTAGTCACCTTTGGGAAAAACCTCCTAAAATTTCTTGAGATAAGTGGACAGCCCCTGGGCTGTGGCCAAGTCTGGGTTAGAACCCCCTGTCCTGCGCCCGTGTGATGTGACCAGGAGGCACCGGGGGCTGCAGCAGAGCAGGACCACGGGGCCTCGGAGCGGAAGTTCTAGGCTGGCACTTGACCAGTGGGGTGCTCTCGGGAAGGCTCCTTAGCCTCTCTATGCCTCAGGCCATCATCCAGAGCCCCAGTCCACAGTTCCAGTCGTCAATTCCTGCACCAGCACGTGGCTCAGAGCGAGGGCTATCCTGGTGCTGTTTTATTTTACATGGGAACACAGGCTTTATTTATCTGTCTCATTCATTCTCCATCTTCAAAATCGAAGGACTGACACTGGAAGAGCATCCAAAACTCGCTCAGGTAGGCAGTGGAACTAAGATTCAAATTCAGGTCGGGATGACTCTAGAACATGAACAACTGACCCCCACCCCGGCTCCCCACTCCACGAGCCCAGAGCCGAATGAACGCATCACCCAGGCTCCCCACTGGCTGACCCCGTCTGGTGGGTCTTGTGTGATGACAGCCCCTTCCCACCCATGGACACCCCCTACTGAGCCTTGAGTCTCTTTCTCTGGGTGCAGGGCAGCCTTCCTCTAGCCCAGGTCCCGGGGTGTCTTCCTCCACCATTCTGTAGGTTCAGTGATTCATACATATCTGCTCTTCCCCAGAGCCAGGCCTCCCTGTCCTCCTTCACGCTGAAGTGACCGAAGCCTGCCCCCATGTGCTTCTCCTCAACCCTTGAGGATGACAGCAGCCCTGCCACCCGAGCCACGCTGACTCTGCAAAGCATGGCATCAAAGCAGTTGTTTCCCAGGGAAAGCTTTGTTTCCCTAGAGGAGGAGGAAGAGCACGTGAGGAGGTCTCCCCCAACCTCCTGCCCAGGTCCTGTTCCTCAAGCAGCAATTCCCCCTGACTGATGAGTAACCAGACACACTAGGAAGAGCTGGTAAAACAAAAGAGAAGGCCATCCCAACGACAAGCTGCAACCCACAGTCGGGCCCACAGCTGCCAGAGGCCCGGCTCAGGCCGGCTCCTCCCCTCCTCTCCCTTACTCCACTATAGAAACCACGCTGGAGACATGTGGATCAAATTTACAGTGCTTAGGGCAAGGGGACAGGAAATTCAGCTGATTTGTCAAAGGATTCCCAGAGAGAAATATTATGTCAATAGATCCAGTAACAGGAGCTGGCAGCTCCATTAATACCAGTCTCCATTTTCGTAGTCCTCACCCACCCAAAGGGGCTTTCACTTAATACCATGGCAAAAGTAATTATGAACCTATCGTTAATAACAGCAACGGATAGCATCATGTTTTTGTGTGCCTTTTGCTTTTAAGAGACTCCTGACATCTAGTAACTTATTATTCTAGCCAGGGAGATGGGCAGTCGTGGTATGGGACGACCACAGCTGACTTTCACTGAGGGCTTGCTCATGTGCCAGGTACTCCAATAGCAGTTTGCATATGTCACCACCTTTATGCCCAGGACCGCAGGAGGTATTACCCCATCTGACAGATGGGGAAACTGAGGCAGGACAAAGTTTCGTGCCTTGCCCAAGGCTGCAGAGGTTACCAGAAGCTGAATGGGGCTGGAAACTCATCTCTTCATCCTTGAGCTCCTGAAATGAAATGACTTCCTCCTTTGGGGCACCTTGTCCTTCTACAATTTAGCAACCCCTAGGATATTTATAAGGAAAGTCTGTTTGGGCCTGAGGTTTGACGGGAGGAAATGCAAAGGCAGAAAAAGGACTCCTGGAAGCCTCCCCTGAAACTAGAGCGGGAAGGCTCTCTTCTTCCTCCCGTCTTTCCCTGCAGCGCTCAGCTCCTGAAGAAAGCCTCCTTCGCATCAATCCTAAGTTGTTCTCGGTCCCACATAAGCTCATTGTTCAGCAATTCTTATTAAACACATAAAATATTTCCTTTACACTCCCGCATTGCCTCTGTGTCTTCTTTTCCCAGTTCCCACAGGGGCCCAGGGCAAGGTCATGTCTGGGAACAGGAATTTCAAAAAACGAAGGAAAACCCCTAAACCAAAACAAAAACAAGAGAAAAGGCATCCCTTTTCTTTCATTCAGTATAATCCTTACGAAAATTTATTTGTTCTAGTCATGATGGAAAAGCAGGCATGCGGGAGTGTTCCCTTCACTCCTCTATTAATTAATAAGGACCCCAAATCAATTCCTGCTACTGAGGAGACCCACCAGCAACACTGGGATCATCACTGTGCAGTGACTCACCAGGCACAGACAGAACACGTGACCGGGTTGTCCTCTGCCTCGTTCTTCTATAAATTCTGCATTTCTGTTGGGACAGCACTCTACTCAAAGTGCTTTTGGTAAGGTGAAGCCTCCATATCTCCCCAGCGATAAGCAGGACCATAATCTTCAATTTTTCTCACTCTGGCTGCCTAACCCTTGAACCTTGAAATTCTTATCTTGCTCCTTTACTGTCCGCTTTCTGAGTGCGACAGGGCATCCACTGGGTGCCCACAAGAGACTCTGAGCCATCCTTACTAGCCGTCTCCTCCTCCCGCACCTCCAACCCACCACCAGGCCTTGCTGCTTCTGCCGCCTTAATATCTCAAAAACCTGTCCCTCCTTCTGGAGCCTTCTAGGATCCCCACCACCCTCCTGAAGAAATCCAAATACCTCTGCACAGGTGAGAATACATAACATCTTTCCTTCTCTTTAGTTTAAGGAAGAAAGTAATTCTGCCAGTAAACTGGAAAATCACCAGCACCTCCCAGGACATCGACAGGTATGAAACCTAACACCCCAGAGCCTCGTTTCTCTAGCCTGTGTTCCAAGTCTTGGTTCTGCTATGGTCCCTGGGGTTGGGGTTGAGGTGGAGATGGGGCAGGAGCCAGCCCATTTTGTTTCCAGGTGATTTTCCACTAGTGCCCAGAGAAGGTGCTATTGAGTGAGGTGGGCAACCTGACTGGCCCTGGAGGCCACCATCTGGGAATCTAACCTGGATTTCTGCTTGCAGAGGTACAGCCTCCTCCCAGCAAGCGTCAAGCCAGAGCAGATGGCCGCACACTGGGTTGACAAACCAGACTTTCAGTGCAAAGGAATCGATGGGGATTTCATCTATGTGTCTGCACAGATGGGGGGTTAATTTGACGTCCGGCACTGGTCTCTAGGTACCCACTGACCCCTAGAAGCATTTCGCCCTTATCAGCGCAGAGTTGAACTTCTGAACTGTCAGCAGTGGGAACCTAGTGGGAACATAGCCTATTGCTATTTCCTATGGTTTAATTTCCCTTCCAGCTATGACACTATGCTCCCATGAAGGCTTTTCAATGTAAAGACATTCTTTCTGTGCAAACTGGGTAGGGTTGTAGTTCAGCTTTTCTGACCATTTGTCAAAAAGCCATCAAGGCTGGAACTTAACTGACCTCCAAACTCGGCAGCCCATTACTGACACACGACTCGTCAATGTGCCTTCTGAGAATGACCCCATGGTCTGATGCCTCGAGAATCTCTGCACAGAGCCATTGCTGTCCCTCTGCCACGACCCCCCGCCCCCAGCTCTGCCAGCCCTGGCAAGGCAGCAAAGGCCACTGCCTGTCCCGCTTCTTTGAAATGAAAACCAGGATGCAGGGATTACTCCTTTATGGCCCTTGTGAGGAAACGCACAAGGCAGGGCCTCTTCTGCCGGTTTTCTTAGGCGCTGGAAGCTTGGGTGGAGTTCAATTCGTAAGCTTCTGAAAATAAAAATTATACTGCCCCACTGAATGGTTTCCAAGCAGTCCACATGACCCAGCTCTTTTATTTTATTTTTTAAAAGTGTTTCCAGCCTCTGATCTTGGGTTTTATATATAGGACATTTAATGCCCAATTGTTGTCTATTAGTCATCCTCCAACAAAGCACTGAAAAGCCAAAGGATGGAAATCCTCCAGAGAGACACAAGCGGGCACGAGGACGGCCTCACTGAACGGTCACTCGACATTCTGAGTTCAAAGAGGCTGGGGACACGGGGTCGAGGCAAGGGGACACTGCAGGAACTAAGGGGAGAAACCTCGACGTGGCGTGAAATGGGCCTGATCAGCTGCCATCATCCGCCTATCCGTGACTCGTCAAGAATGATCAAGAGCTAATTCTTGGGCAAAGCTATTGCCTTGAGATGTGACCACTATGTTGTAACGCCCAAGGGTTCAAGTGGAGAGAAGATGTTAGGAGATAGGAGGGAGGGGGGAGGGAGGGAGAGAGAGAGAGAGAAGGAGAGAAGGGGAGAGAGAGAGAGAGAGAGAGAGAGAGAGAGAGAGAGAGAGGAGAGAGAGAGAGAGAGAGAGAGAGAGAGAGAGAGAGAGAGAGAGAGAGAGAGAGAGACACTAAAATGAGTTTGGGAAGCAATTTTTTAAATCATAAGTTAATAATAATCCATGGAGTTGGGTGTTCACAAACAGGGATGGGATCAATAAGCATTGGAACCCCTACAAAGATCCCAGCAGGGGCTGCTATCACAGTGCCCCCCGTGCCTCTGAGGGACAGAGGCTTAGATGGGCTGGGTCACTTGATTGAGTATGCAGCTTAATGGCAGAGGTGGGATCCTGACCCAGTGTGCCACCCCAGGGGACCCCGGAATCCACACAGCACTGCCTCTCCTGAAGGGGCCAGGGGCCAGCTTGGGAAGGAAAAGTGCACCAGGCTCTCCCTACTCACTCCGGGCCCAGGGCTGTTCCCCAACCCTCGCCCCTCAGCTTTCCCCCTTCTCGAAGGGCAGGAAATTAAAAGCAAATAATAACCATGCTCTGGTTAACACCTCACCCCGGCTAAGTTACCAGAACACCACCAGTGAAAGGTGGTCTTCCGGCAAAGTCCGGCCCGGGGCCAAGAGCTCACCATTAAGCAGTAAAATAATAACGCACGTTTATGACTGCCCAGGGAGCAGGTGGCCAGGGAACCCAGGCGAGATCAAAGGGTGACGGAGCACAACACGCTCCTGGCCAACAACCCCCTTCCTCCTAAGAGTGGTAAAAAGCAAACCCTCCCCAATGGTGGGCTGGGATTTACCTCCCTCTGGAATGCTCCATCCCCCGAGCTGCTCGTGGAGTTGGTGGTGGGCTGCCCCTTCTCATGCAGCCAGCTCCTCCAAATCTCAAAGGAGCTCTAAGCTGGGCAAGGACTCGGAGGGGAAGAGAAGGGCCACCATAAAACCAGAGGGCCTCACAAGTCAGTGCAGGTGACCCTAGTCGCGTTATGGTGATTCATTTAATTAAGGTGAATATCAGTTCTCTCATTGACCTAGAGGGTGACTAGGGGGGCTTGTAAAAATAAACAAACTAGTAGAGATCATGGGATTGCTATCTGATTTTTTTTTTGAAGCAAAAACTCAATAAGATGCAGTCTGTTCCCTGCTGTTTCCCCATTTTTGCAAGAGAGTAAAATAAAGCCAGAGTAACCGTGCAGATCAGTTTCAGGAAATTAAACCTAAAGGTGAACTCTGGAAAAACCAGCAATCGTCACAACATTGGGCAGTGTGGGGCAGAAAACCAACATTTGAACTACTGAGGTTTTTCCAGTGGAAAGAGATCTCTGTGTTATTTTGAATACTTTTAAAGAGATTCTGGGTGGCCTCGCTCCAAAGGATTGATGTAACACACCAAGAACTTGAGTGACCTCGGAAGCACGAGTCTTGGAATAACCTCTCACTAAAAAAAAAAAAAGGAAAACCCCAGCACATGACCGTGGTCCTTTGTCACAGTCTGTTCTTGACCCACAGCGGTGAGTGCACTAATTCCTGGAGGCCAAGGACAACAGTGAGCCACTTTTGTGTACAGACGATATATTTAATAGACACATACAGGGCTGGTAGGGGAGTGCCTGCCTAGCATACATGAGGCCCAGGGTTCCATCTCCAGCACCACAAGAAAATAACAAAAAGACACATTCCTAGAGAGAACTTTAAGAACTTAAAGACAGGGTGGAACTGGACAGTTAAGAGTCAGACCCTGAAGTATCGGCCCTTTCCCCAGCTGACCCTCCCAGCCGCCCAGGTGAGGCTGGTGTTCACCGTGCTGGTGTTATAATAATGCTTTCTGAATGACTACGCTTTCCAAACATTTATAAATATGACCTGTGCCTGTGGGTGAAATAAAAGCAGTTGTCATGAGAGCTGAGAGGGGACAGACGTTATCAGAGCTGAAGAGGTGACAGAATGTTTCTTTTGAAGCAAATCTATACCTTTCACTTCAATTAAGGCGCAAAACTGGTTATTTGAAGTTAAACTTTTACATAAAGTGTTTTTAACATTGTTACCTAGTTACCTATACAGAGCTCAGACTGCAGGTCCTCTAATATCAAAGATGATTATTTTTGCAAGGTAGAAGTGTACATGACTTTCCCCCCCATTCATCTTCAGACTTTTTAACAAAACCATTATTACTATAACCATCATGAGCTCACAGAGGCAAAAAGAAAAATAAAGCAAAAAAAGGAAAGCCTAGTTGTTTTTATAGAGAATTTATAAATAAATAATAATAAAAACAAATAGCAGATAAGGGAAAAGATTCTACGAGTCAGGGAGAGGCGGTTCCATGCTAATAACAGCAGGTGAGATCTGTCTAGTGTCTCACCCCAGACTCGACCTTGCTGAGAGCCAGCCCTTTCACCTGGCCCCAGGTGGTTCTGACACAGACCTGGGTCCCTCCGTGGGACTTTCTGGGCCATGCGTTGCTGCTGTGTTTCTGTGCAAGCCTGCTGCCACAGATGGCCCGACCTTCCCGCACCACAGTGGCCTGTGCAGGTTGCAATCTGCTGAGGTCTGAGAACAAGGAGAGTCCAGCCCCACAGCCCAAATCCCTGCTGGGAAAAGGGAGGCTGGCCTGCCCTGCCTGGGTGGGGAGCAAGGCTGTGCCTGCCCCAGTGATTCCCTCGCTAGGGAGCAGAGTGCCAGAAGGCAAGGAGGGGACAGGGTCAGGGCTCCCAGCATCAGCTCAGACATAGGGAAGAGTGTTGCATACCCATGACAGACACAAGTCACTCCTTGGGGGTTAAAAACACTGCAAATATTGCAAGGTCCAGGGCAGATGGCCAAGGCATCTAACATGAGCGTGCTAGAGAGAAATGTACTGCACTGGAGTCCTGCTCACAAACAACCGGCTTCAGCCCATTGGGGTTCCAATTCCAAAGAGGTCTGAACATTAGACTCCCCAGATAATGTACGAGTAGGCGTCAAGAGAGACGAGGGTTTGGAACCCAGCTCTCCTACTTACTAGCTATGCGACTCTGAACTAGTTACTTCTCCTTTCTGAGCCTCTACTTGCTCATCTGTATAATACGCCTACTGAGAGCTCCTGATTTGTTAGATTGTTTAAGGAGTAAAAGAAGTGATGGAGGAGGATACTTGGGGAAAGACCTGACACATAAGACGCATACAGTAAATAGAAATATTTCTATGAATGGTCTCACTGTCAAGGGCCAGTGGCTTTGGGATAAAGCCACCAGATACTATATAAAAGCTATTAACACCATGGGGAGGAGGGGAGGAGCCCATGGCCTCTCTACCCTGTTTTCTTAGAGGCCGCTGCGGCTCACATTTGTACAAAATCATGCTGCACTGGCTGCAGATGGGTCATTTATTTTGCATTTGTTCACTCATTTACTCAAAGTGGTGTCCTGATTACCTGGTGTGCTAGCAGCAGCTGTGCTCTGGGGACAGGAATAAAGGGGAACAGGAGGGCCTCCACCCTCGTGAAGGCGGAGCACTCAATACTGCACTCCAAGGGCCCCAAGGGAGCCAGCAAGAGGAGGAGGAGGAGGAAGGTCCCTGAGAACCACTGTCCTGGCCTGAAGTGGGGGGGAGGGAAGGCGGGGGAGAGGCCATGGGGAGGAGAGTGGGCTTGGCAGAAAGGCTGGATGGGTCTTCCCCTTTTCTTCAAAGGTCAGAGTAGCAGCTCTACGCAGCTTTTCGGACGATGCGATCTCTCAACCTCTCGACTCTGCCAGTGTCATGTGACTAGACAAACAGGTACGGCTGTGTTTCGTGAATGAAACCAGGGACACTGAAATTTGAATTTCACACTATCTTCATGTGTCATGAATATTTTTCAATCATTCAAAAATGTAATGTTCGGGGCTGGGGATGTGGCCCAAGCGGTAGTGCGCTCGCCTGGCATGCGTGAGGCCCGGGTTCGATCCTCAGCACCACATACCAACAAAGATGTTGTGTCCGCTGAGAACTAAAAAATAAATATTTAAAAAAAAAATGTAATGTTCACTCTTGGCTGTGGGGGGCCGTAAAAAAAGAGGCAGGGGGTGGGACCCAGGGCCAGGAACCCTTAGGAAGACTGAAAGGGGGACTCAAGAGGGACAGCCAGAGAGTATGACAAGCTATAGGCGCAAAAGCCTAGGGACTCACACTCTGCCCGAGAACCAGGAGGACCCACTGAAGGGATTTGAGTGGGTGGGTGAGCGACAAGGTCATCTGTACACTTGAGGAGGAAGTGGCCAGGGCTCAGGAGAGTAGCATCCCAAGGGTTCACTGCTGGCCGGAGACACATGCCCTGCTATGGAATTCACAGCCCAAATCCCAGGGGGCCAGCCACTGCCTGCGCTCTCCCCATCCAGACGCCCATTCCTGACAGTATTTGTACTAATCGCTGGTTGCTTCCACCATTCAGCAACTGTGAATGAAGCTGCTATAAACACCTATGAGCAGGATTTTGTGTGGACATAAGTTTTTAGCTCCTTTGGGCAAATAC